AATCCAGCCCCCACGAATAGATCCTGTTACTACTCCTATTTACAAGTATAGAAAATTAAGGCTTAGAGAGATTAAGTAACACACCCAAGCACAGAGCTCAAACTCCTGGCCTCAAGTGATCCTCCTACCTTGGCCTCTCAAAGTGCTAGGATTATAGGCATGAGCCACCATGCCAAGGCCAGAGCCAAGATTTGAACTCAGGTCTTTTTCTTTTTTTTTTTTTTTGAGATGGAGTTTCGTTCTTGTTGCCCAGTCTGGAGTGCAACGGTGCGATCTCAGCTCGCTGCAACCTCCACCTCCTGGGTTCAAGCGATTCTCTCCCCTCAGCATCCCGAGTAGCTGCGATTACAGGCATGCACCACCATGCCCAGCTAATTTTGTATTTTTGGTAGATACGAGGTTTCACCATGTTGGTCAGGCTGGTCTTGAACTCCTGACCTCAGGTGATCCACCTGCCTAGGGCTCCCAAAGTGCTGGGATTACAAGCGTGAGTCACTGTACCCAGCCTTTTTTTTTTTTAAACAGGGTGTCACTGTCCAGACTGGACTGCAGTGACATGATCTCAGTTCACTGCAGCCTCTAACTCCCATGTTCAACTGATTCTCCTGCAGGCACATGCCACCACGCCTGGCTAATTTTTTGTATTTTTAGTGGAGACAGGGTTTCACCATGTTGGCCAGGCTGCTTTCGAACTCCTGACCTCAGGTGATCTGCCTGCCTCGACCTCCCAAAGTGCTGGGATTACAGGTGTGAGCCACTGCGCCTGGCCTGGTATGTTTCGGCTTAATGGGAAGTTTGGGCTCCCTGAGCAGGTTAACAGTTGACCTAAGACTTGAGGGAGTGGGGAGTGAGCTGCGTGAATGGCTGAGTCGAGGGTCCATGTAGAGGAACAGCATGTGGAAGGCCCCACAGGAGGGCACTCAGGACCCAGCGTGGTGAGAGGGGAGTGGGAGGGATGGGAAGGTGGAGGTGCCTCAGGCCACTGGAGGGTCTTTGTCTAGTCTCCCCCAAGCTTAGCACATGCTCCGTTACACATCCATTGAACGAATGAATGGGAGGAGTGGGATCCAGCTCATATGGGTTTCCCGCCCCCCAGGTGAACGAGCGGGTCCTGAACAGGCTCCATCAAGTGCAGAGGATTACTCGGAGGCTGCAGCAGGAGCGGAGGTAACCCCTTCTGTGCCCCCCCCCACCCCGGGCCCGTGAGCTTCGGCTCCCAGACACTCCCACCCCCTCGTGTCTCCCCACTCCCATGACCTCCCAACCCTCACAAGCCACAAGGAAGAGAGCCTGGAGATGAGGGCCTGGGGCTGAGGCAGGCAGGGAGGAATGGTGGAGTTCGGTCTTGGCGGGAGGAGTGCTGAGCGCTGGGACTGAGGGAGGGCTGGGTAGAGTGGGCTGCTCCCTGTTACCTCTACGCCTAGAATATACCCACGTCTTCTCACTCCTCTGCTGCCACCGACCTGGGCCTGGGGACACAGCCTCTCGCTTAGATCACTGCTCTTTGCCTCCCTGCCTCTCCCTTAGCCCAAGTCTCCTCTCAAAACAGCCAGGGCAAGCCCCACCTTTTCCTCTTTGTACCTGTAGGCAAGATTTTTTTTTTTTGATAGCGTTTCACTCTGTGGCCAGGCTGGAGTGCTGTGGCGTGATCTCGGCTCACTGCAACCTTTGCACCTCCCGGGTTCAAGTGATTCTTCTGCCTCAGCCTCCCCAAATAGCTGGGACTACAGGTGTGCACCACCACGCCCGGCTAATTTTTGTATTTTTAATAGACAGGGTTTCATCATGTTGGCCAGGCTGGTCTCGAACTCCTGACCTAGGTGATCCACCCACCTGGTCCTACCAAAGCGCTGGGACTACAGGTGTGAGCCACCGTGCCCTGCCTTAGCCAAGGTTTTTCAGATCAGGAGTTTATGAAAGGGATCGGTGGCCTTTTGGGTACAGAATTAAGAAAGCCTGTGTGCATGCAAAACCTCCCTGAATAACTTTGCACAGCTAAGTGAGAATCAGGCTTTCCGCACCGCTGACCTGGAGCCCAGCCCCATGGTTCTGCAAGCGTGGCCCGTGGACTGGCAGCATCAGGGCCACCTGGGCACTTGGTGCAAATGCAAGTTCTCCAGCCCCGCCAGTCCTTCTGAAATGTCAGACAGACCGAGCCCCTCCTCCACCCGTTGGAGGTGGTTCTCAGCTGACTCAGAGTAAAGGTGAACGTCCTGCGGCAGCGGAGCAGGCCCTGGCTCAGAGCGCCCCACACACCTGCCTGCCTGCTGCGCTAGAAACTGGGCACTCACTCGGCCCTGCCACTCCTGCATCTGCTTGGTGAGGCCTCTGCCACCAGCTTTCGAAGTTCCAATCCCGGTATCATCCACCTCCTTCCCGCTTTCTGGTCCGTTGTGTTTTTGTTGGCTTGTTCACTGTCTGTCTATGCTGTGACTTGAGTTCCGTCAGCAACGGGGGCCTCTGTTTTGTCTTCTGATGTGCCCTCAGCACAGCCCCCAGAACAGCACCGACAGCAGAGCGGGCACTCAGGGCATGTGTAAAGAACAAGATCTGTCTGAAAAGCATCCTGGCCAGGCATGGTGGCTCACGCCTGTAATCTGAGCACTTTGGGAGGCTGAGGCAGGTGGATCACCTGAGGTCAGGAGTTCAAGAGCAGCCTGGCCAACATGGTGAAACCCCGTCTCTACTAAAAACACAAACATTAGCTTGGCAGACACCTGTTATCCCAGCTACTTGGGAGGCTGGGGCAGGAGAATCGCTTCAACCCGAGAGGCAGAGGTTGTGGTGTGCCAAGATCACACCACTACACTACAGCCTGGGAGACAGAGCGAGACTTCGTCTCAAAAACAACAAAAAACTTTCTGTCCAGGCGCTGGTGCAGAGGAAGCATTCCATCAATTAGAACTTTAAAAGTAAGGAACTCTGGAGGCAGGGACTGGGGAAACGAGAGAAGCCAGTGTTGATAAAAGGCAAGGTTATCAGTAGAAGTGGTCTGCACTCCCCTCTCTCTTTTTAGTTATCAACAAAAATTCTTAACTCACAGCCGGGCGTGGTGGCTCATGCCTATAATCCCAGCACTTTAGGAGGCTGAGGCGGGTGGATCACAAGGTCAGGAGATTGAGACCAGCTTGATCAACATGGTGAAACCCCATCTCTACTGAAAACACAAAAATTAGCTGGGCATGGTGGCACGTGCCTGTAATCCCAGCTACTCAGGAGGCTGAGGCGGGAGAATTGCTTGATCCTAGGAGGCAGAGGTTGCAGTGAGCTGAGATCGTGCCACTGCACTCCAGCCTGGGCAACAGAGCAAGGCTCCATCTCAAAAAAAAAAAAAAACCAAAAAAACTCTAACTCACATATGAACGTTTCCTAAGTGCCGATATCACATTAAGTACTTTACAGAAATCCTCTGGTATCACTGCGTCATCACCACCGCGGCACCCAGCCAGTCGAGGCTGTCATCCCGTTTGCAGAGCAGGAAACTCAGCCTCAGAATGGCTGCCTTGTCTTGCTCCAGTCCAGGCCTCCAGCGCCAGAGCTCAGGACCTCCTGGGTCCAGGACAGCTTTGGCTTCGAGTGGAGCGGGAGCTGAGCTCTATCCTGTGGCCCTTCTTCCCCAACTGCCAGGAGATTAACTCATTCCATCGGTGGCTTCTCCCTGAGCAGGTTCCTCATGAGAGTGCTGGACTCCTACGGGGATGACTACCGGGCCAGCCAGTTCACCATTGTGCTGGAGGTGAGTGCCGGGCCTCCAGGAGGGGCAGGAACTGGGAGCCCAGGACACACCATCACCTACCTCCCACTCCTCCCTGCCAGGATGAGGGCAGCCAGGGCACAGATGCCCCCACCCCAGGCAATGCTGAGAATGAGCCTCCAGAGAAAGATGCACTGTCCCCACCGAGAAGGACTCCTGCACCCCCAGAACCTGGCAGCCCAGTCCCCATCGAGGGGCCCAGTGGGCGGAAGAGGAGGCGAGTGCCACGGGATGGACGTCGAGCAGGAACTGCGCTGACTCCAGAGCTGGCACCGGTGCAGGTGAGGAAGGGGGACACTCAAGGGGAAGGCCTGGGGCTGGGTGGAGTCAAGTTCAGGGCTCCCGGGGCCTGGAGAAGTTGGAGAGAGGAGGTGAAACAGGAAGTGTTGGAAGCCTAGGATCAGGCAGGGAGGTGGCTGGAAAATGGGGCAAAGGCTTGGGTAGAAAAGGAGGCAAAGTTGGAAAGGAAAGGAGAAAACCTGGAGAAGGAAAATAACTGGAGAAGGCTGGGAGGAGAGGAGAGGGAAGGATCAAAGAGAGGGCGGAAGAGAAGGCCCAGTGAGGGGAGGAAAGTCGGAAGAGCATCTGGACCCAGGAACACTGGAATTGCCTCTGAGGTATAAGGAGGAAGCTGACTGGCCTGGCAAGACTAGAACAGTGAGGATGGCCAGGTGCAGTGGCTCAGGCCTGTAATCCCAGCACTGTGGGAGGCCCAGGTGGGAGGTTCACTTGAGACCTCCCTGAGCAACATACTGAGACCTCATCTCTACCCCCAAAAAAAAAAAGGTAGGATTGGTTGGCCTGTGCCTCTAGTCCCAGCTACTTGGGAGGCTGAGGTGGGAGGATCGCTTGATCCTCAGGTGGGAGGCAGAGCCTGCAGTAAACTATGTTGGCACCACTGTACTCCAGCCTGGACAACAGAGTGAGGGCCTGTCTCTTTAAAAATCAAAACAAAATGAAAACAAAAACAGTGAAGCTAATTGGATTTTCTAGATTCCCAGCCCTAACACTTCGTTATCTCCTGCAGATTAAGGTCGAGGAAGACTTTGGCTTTGAAGCAGACGAGGCCCTGGATTCCAGTTGGGTTTCCCGGGGTCCAGACAAACTGCTGCCCTACCCGACCCTAGCCAGCCCACCCTCTGACTGACCCATGCCCAGTAAACTGACCCCGCACTCACCCTGGCCGCCGTCTCCTGTTCCCACCTCTGATCACACACATGCTCACATTCTGGGGTTGGTTTTCACATTTTTATTGGGAGCCGAGAGAGGGCCCGCCTTGGTCAGTGGAGGTGCTCACAGGTTCTTCAGCCACTCCAGGCTGGGCCCCTGGGGGTCCTGGGGGTGGCTGGGTATGTCGGGCATGTTCCCATCATCGCGGACAGGCACTGTGGGACAGGAGGGGGCCACTGAGACCAGCACGTCTCCAAGGCCTGGAGAGAAGAGCTGTCTGTCGATTTATATTCAGAGAGGGAAAGGGAGACGCCAGGGGGTGAGAGGAGGGTAAGGATCAGAGAATCAGTGATGCAGAAGAGGCAGGGAGATACAGAGACTGAGAGACATGGAAAACCGGAGAGACAGAGAGAGAGACCCCAAAAGAGATGGGGAAACAGGACAGAAACCTGTAAAGATGGAGACCGAGGAAACACCACAGATAGCAACCCAGAGAGGGACAGAAAATCTGGAAGGTAATAGAAACTGGAAGCACAAACACAGAATAGTGTATGAATTATATCTCAGTTCTTAAAAAGTTGAGCAGGGGGAGTACAGGCAGCACTGCTGAATGTCTGACCTCTGCTTAGGAAAGACCTGCCCATAACGGCCCCGGTCCCGGTCCCCGGCGCAGGGCGGCTGAGCCCATCCCAGCGATCCCTGCAGGGCCCCCACTTACCTGGGTAGTTGTAGGGTGTGGCCTTGTTGATCATGACAGAGTACTTGAAGTAGGGGCTGATTGGGGGCAGAATTATAGCTGTGGAGAGACACAGGTGTGAGGCCCAGGGGGAAGGCAGCTCTCTGAGGAGAGGGGAAGAGAGGCTGAGCCTTGGCAAAGGGAAGATAAAGTGCAAAGGGGGAGGGCCAGCACCTCCAGGAAGATCCTTGGTACCTTGGGATCCCTATTCTAGATAGGAGGGTTTAAAACTTTTTGGGGGGGGGGGTAAATGGAGGAGGGGTGGGAGCCCAACACAGATACATGGGGCCTAGAAGACAGAGCAGTGGGTTTGGTCATGGAATGAGTGCATTAGTGTTCATCATGGAGCATCCTGGGGGTGGTGTCACGGGACTGTTCCTTAGAAATCAAGATTGTTACAGATGGCCAGACGCAGTGGCTCATGCCTGTAATCCTAGCGCTTTGAGAGCCCAAGGTGGGCAGATCACCTGAGGTCAGGAGTTCAAGACCTGCCTGACCAACATGGTGAATGAAACCCCATCTCTACTAAAAACATAAAAATTAGCTGCATGTGGTGGTGGCGCCTGTAATCCCAGCTACTCAGGAGGCTGAGGCAGGAGACCTTTGAGCCTGGGAGGTTGAGGTTGCAGTGAGCCCAGATCGTGCCACTGCACTCCAGCCTGGTGACAGAGAGATTCCATCTCAAAAAAAAAAAAAAAAAAAAGACTTACGAACTGGAGGAGAAAGGGTTGCACAAACAACAGTCACTGAGGAGTCACAGTCCACCTCGGTGGGAGCCAAGAGTCCTGGGGGATGGGGCACAGTACATAAAAGGAATGTTCTAGGCCCGCAGTGTCTGACAGATGGTAAGAGCCAGGTATGTAATTTTGTATCTTCTAGGTAACCATAGTAAAAATAAAAGATACAGATGAAACAAACTTTAAGAAACATACTTAATTTGGTATATCCAAAACATCACTTCAACATGTAATCAACAAAAGATTATTGGTAGTTTACACACTTTTTTTTTTTTTTTTTTTGAGACGGAGTCTCCCTCTATTGTCCAAGCTGGAGTGCAGTGGCACAATCTCGGCTCACTGCAACCTCAGCCTCCTGGGTTCAAGCCATTCTCCTGCCTCAGCCTCCCAAGTAGCTGGGACTGCAGGCATGCGCCACCACACCTGGCTAGTTTTTTAATATTTTTAATAGAGACAAGGTTTCACCATATTGGCCAGGCTGGTCTCAAACTCCTGACCTTGTGATCTGCCTGCCTTGGCCTCCCAAAATGCTGGGATTACAGGCGTGAGCCACTGTGCCTGGCCCACACTTTGTTATACTAAGTTTTTGAAATCCAGTGTGTTTTATACCACCTCAGTTCATACCAGCCCCACTTCAAGTGGTCAGTGGGGCCAGGTGTGGCTGGTGGCTGCCAGCTGCCATATTGAACAAATGTTCAGAACCTTACTTGGTGCCTGGCTGGTGGACCAGCAGTACTGAAAAGACCTGGGAAGCTCTTCAAAAATGCTTGAATCCCAAGCCTCACCCCAGACCTACAGAAACAGAACCCACAGTCTGGCTTGGCCCAGTGGCTCATGCCTAAATCTCAGCACTTTGGGAAAATGGATCACTTGAGGTCAGGAGGAGTTCCAAACCAGCCTGGCCAACATGGTGAAATCCTGTCTCTACTAAAAATACAAAAATTAGCCAGACATGGTGGTGAGCGCCTGTAATCTCACCTACTCAAAAGGCTGAGATAGGAGAATCACTTGAACCCCAAAGGCAGAGGTTGCAGTGCGCCAAGATCATGCCACTGCACTCCAGACTGTAAGACGGAGGGAGACTGCACAGCAAAAAAAAAAAAAAAAAAAAAAAAAAAAAAAAATTAGATGGGCGTCTGTAATCTCAGCTACTCAGGAGGCTGAGGCAGAAAAATTCTTTGAACCCAGGAGGCAGAGGTTGCAGTGAGCCACAGCTTCAGCCTGAGTGACAGTAACACTACATCTCCAAAAAACAAAAAACAAAAACAAAAACGAAAAACAAACTACATTTTAACAATCCTCCGCCCCCACCCCTACAAGGAACTCCAGTGCTAATTAAAGTGTGAATAGCATAGTTCCACAACAGAGGTTTTCAATCTGGAAGTCACATTAGGATAATGGAGGGTTTTCACAAGGGGCAGATTCCCCAGCCCAACCTCCAACCAAGCCAATTCAATTCAGAATGGGAGAGGGGAGCTGAAAGGGAGGAGGAGGATCTGGACTTTATTTTTGGTGCTCAGGTGCTGATACATAAGTAGGGTTGAGAACGTCTCATTTAGGGGGGTTAAGAGCGTGTTGGGTAGATGGAGAGGAACGCGGGGGCGATGGTGGAGAGATTATAAAGGGTATGGGGATAAACAAGGGGACTCGAGGGCGGCGATAGGGCTTTAGGGGTACAAGATGGAGCGATGTGGAGGGACAGGGGTGGATGATGCAAGTTTGCACCTGGAGACTCACGCACCGAGGGTCCCGATGAAGAAGGACACGACCAGTACTGGCTCCTTGGCCCAAGCATTCTTGAGGAAGGCGCCGAGTCCTGGAGGAGTGGCGAGGAGGGTCACCCCTGCAAGGGGCTGCACCCGTGACCTCTAACCCTCTCGTGCCACCCCTGCCCTGGAGGAGCCCCCTCGTGGCTTCTGCGTCCCCCTCACAGACCCCATCGCCTCCACCACTTCCCCGCTGCACCTTAGTCCCAGGACCGCCTGGAGATTCCCGGAACTACCCGAGCCCCGCGCGCCACCGGCACTTGCACTTACTTGCGGCCATCTTGGTCTCGGCGGCGGGGACAGCGGAGAGGACGCGAAGCACTCTGGAAGTTGTGGTCTCTGCGCGAGACACCGCTCCCCTGGTTGCGCGTGCGCCCTGGAGCAGAGGTGGAGGCGGAAACCAGGACGCGGAGCACTCTGGGAGTTGTGGTCCCTCTGCGCGAGGCGCTGCTGTCAGAGTCTGCGCGTGCGCACTCGCTCAGCGCAAAGATGAGGCAGCGGTGGAGCAAGCGCAATCCTGACTTTGCGCACCTGCGTGGGTTCTCCTTATTTTAGGTTCTTATTTTTAAAACAGACATACAGATATCTTTCTATCTGCCTGTCTGTATTTAAAGACATGGTCTCACTCTATCACCCAGGCTGGAGCGAGGTGGCACTATTTATTTTTTTAGACAGGGTCTCGCCATGTTGCCCAGGCTGCTCATGAACTGGGCTCAAGCGATCCTCCCATCTCTGCCTCCCAATGAGTATTTGTTTCTAGAGTTAAATTAATGAACACCACAGGTTATGACTGACCCCCCTGCTAACTTTTTCCACGGTGCCATGGGGACATGTCACAGTCACCACAGGCCCCCACCTCGCTTCTCTCTTCCCTAAACTGGGCTCTGGGTCTGGCTTTCTGATGTGGCCTAATTTCCTGGGAGGGAAGAGGGTGTTTCTCAGCCTTGAAGTTGCTCCGGAATGACTAGTCCTCCTGCTGCGATCCACTTAAGGCGGAACAAAATAGTTCCCATTTTATAGTTTATGTATGAAAGCCCATTTTACAGATGAAGAAACTGAGCCTGGGAGAAGGTGAATGATTAACCTGCCCTTTGAGGCCTCAGCTGAAGATCAGCTCGTCCTGGAAGAGCTACGTCTCATCACACATGGCTTAAGAGCCTTCTGCGGGCTCTCACAGTGCCCTGTAACTGCCATTATAGCTCAGATCACTGAACAAACTGACCTGGTCTGAGTCTTTCAGTTGGACTGGTAGCTGCTTCTTGAGAGTAGTAACGGAGTCTGAGTCCCCTTTGTGCCTGCCAACATCGCACAGCAAGGGCCAGGCACTTAATAGGTGCTAATTTTTTATCTGTCTATCAATCTATCAATCATCTATCTATCTATCATAGTATCACAGCAAGGGCCTGGCACATAATAGGTGCTAATTTTTATGCCTGTCAATCATTTTATCAATCGATCAATCAATCACAACAAAGGCCTGCCACATAATTGGTGCTCATTTTTATCTGTCAATCACAGCAAGGGCCTGGCACATAATAGGTGCTAATTTTTATCAATCAATCATAGCAATAGTCTGGCATATTATAGGTTCTTATTTTAAAAACAGACAGATTTCTATCTATCTGTCTGTCTATATTTAAAGACATGGTCTCACTCTATCACCCAGGCTGGAGCAATGTGGCAAAATTTTTTTTTTAGACAGGGTCTTGCCATGTTGCCCGGGCTGCTCTTGAACTCCTGGGCTCAAGCAATCCTCCCATCTCTGCCTCCCAATGAGTATTTGTTTCTAGAGTTAAATTAATGAACACCACAGGTTATGACTGACCCCCCTGCTAACTTTTTCCACGGTGCCATGGGGCTATGACACAGTCACCCATAGGCCCCCATCTTGATTCTCTCTTCCCTAAACTGGGCTCTGGGTCTGGCTTTCTGATGTTGCCTCATTTCCTGGGAGGGAAGAGCCAAGCCCTGTTGGCTGCAGGGATATCTGCCCACCATGGCCCTGGTGCTGATCCTCCAGCTGCTGACCCTCTGTGAGCTGCCCTTTCCTCCTCCCTGGGTTCCTGTCTGGGGTGGGGGGCAGAGAGAGAGGCGGTGGAGACCCACACACCCTGCAGGGGGACCAGCAGCACTAGCTGGGGGTTTGGGATTCTAGGTTCAAATAAAGAACAGGACAGGGGCCCACACCCCTGGGTCCTAAAGCAAGAGAAGACAGATTCTCGAAAGAGGAAGGAGATGGGGACAGGTCTCTCTGGATCCTGAGGCAGGAGGAAGGTAGGGGACAGGGAGGACTCCTAGAGTCTCACATGGGATGGGGATGGAAGCCAGGACTCCTAGTTCCCTGGTGAAAGGGGGCTGGGAACAGAGCTCATGGCTCCTGAGTGAAGAGGGAAATGGAGACTCAGATTCCAGAAGAGGAGAAACTCTGCGATCACTGTCTCCTGAAAAGGGGGAGCTCAAGGGCCTGAACTCTTGGGTGCCCAGGCCAGAGGGGTCTGGGTTCAGACGTCTTCAGTAGCTGGGTAATGGAAGTCTGCATTTCTGCCTGAGACAGGATAAGGGAGGGATAAGATTCTTGTTTCCCAGAGGAGAGAGAAGCTGGGGACTCAGATTCCTGGGATACCAATGAGATGGGGCTGGCCACAAAAGGCTTTGAAAGGAACTAGTTCCTGGCTGAGGTGGCTCACGCCTGTAATCCCAGCACTCTGGGAGGCTGAAGTGGGTGGATCACCTGAGGCCGGGAGTTCAAGACCAGCCTGACCAATATGGCGAAACCCTGTCTCTACTAAAAATACAAAAATTAGCTGGGCGTGGTGGCAGGCACCTGTAGTCCCAGCTACTTGGGCGGCTGAGGCAGGAAAATCACCTGAACCAGGGAGGCAGAGGTTGCAGTGAGCCGAGATCGCGCCATTGCACTCCAGCCTCGGAGACAGAATGAGACTCCTTCTCAGACAAAAAAAAAAAAAAAAAAAGGAAGGAAGGAACTAGCCCCTCAACCTTCTACAGGGCCTCTGTGTCACACAGACAGCGCTCCATCTGGTGAGTAGCCACCCCATCCACTCTCCTTTACATCGCTGACACCGCTTTTCCAACTACTCAGATTTTATTTTGGTGCCCAATCCCATCCCAATGTCCTTATTTTCCTCCCTCCCTCCATTCTTGCCTTCTTTCCTCATTCCCTTTAGTGGCCATTATAGGTGAGGAGTGAAGACCAGGAGCTTCAGAGGCAGAGGCTTCACTACCGTATTAATTTGCATGACCTTTAACAAGCCACAGTGTGCCAAGACTCCATTTCCTTCTCTGTAAAATGGGCCGCTGAGAGATTTCATAAAATCACATGTACAAAACCCTGAGCCTGGCACAGTGCAGAGCTTAAGAAACAGGATCTTGGGCCAGCACTTTGGGAAGACAAGGTGGGTGGATGACTTGAGCTCAGGAGTCTGAGACCAGCCTGAGCAACATGGTGAAACCCCATCTCTACTAAAACTACACACACACAATCAGCCAGGTGTGGTGGCACACAGCTGTGGACCCAGCTACTTGGGAGGCTGAGGTGGAAGGATCGCCTGAGCTGGGGAGGCTGAGGGTGCAGTGAGCAGAGATTGCGCTACTGCACTCCAGCCTGGGCAACATAAGACCCCATCTCTAAACAATTTTTTTTTAATTAAAAAATATAGGATTTTTAGGTCGGGCATGGTGGCTCATGCCTGTAATCCCAGCACTTTGGGAGGCCAAGACAGACAGATCACCTGAGGTCAGGAGATCCCGACCATCCTGGCCAACGTGGAGAAACCCTGTCTCTACTAAAATACTAAAATTAGCTGGGCAAGGTAATACGCACCTATAGTCCCAGCTACCTGGGAGGCTGAAGCAGGGGAATTGTTTGAACCTGGGAGGTGGAGGTTGCAGTGAGCCGAGATCAAGCCACTGCATTCCAGCCTGGCAACAGAGCAAAACTTCGTCTCAAATAAATAAATAAATAAATAAAAATTTTCAACCTGCCTGACCAACATGGTGAAACCTGTTTCTACTAAAAATACAAAATTAGCCAGCTGTGGTGGTGCACACCTGTAATCCCAGCTACTCAGGAGGCTGAGCCAAGAACATTGCTTGAACCTGGGAGGCAAAGGTTGCAGTGAGCCGAGATCATGCCATTACACGCAAACCTGGGAAACAAGAGTAAAACTCCTTCTCAAAAAAAAAAAAAAAAAAAAAAA